TTTGGTTTTTCGAGACAGGGTTTCTCTGTAGCTTTGGTGCCTGTCCTGGAACTAGCTCTTGTAGACCAGGCTGGCCTCGAACTCCCAGAGATCCGCCTGCCTCTGCCTCCCGAGTGCTGGGATTAAAGGCGTGCGCCACCACCGCCCGGCTCGATTTAATTTTTTTTTTGTGTGTGTATGTGTGTTTTTGACAGGTCCTTGAGTTTATCCATAGGATGCAGATCATCCCTTGGATGTTTATTTTTAAGGCGTGGGCAGGTGAGCCAGCCCCACCCAACTGGTACCTGGCCAGGCTCACAGGCATAGAAACAAACGCTTTGAAGTCTAAGGTTGCAGAATTCACATTATACCATATGAGCTCTCCCATATAACTGTTGCTGGGATCTTTGCCTCCATGGGCTCTTCTTTCATTCAATTACTGTTTTGGGATAGTTGATTACAGAGATGCTAAGTCAAATGGGACCTTGACTCATGCATAAATAGCCTGGTAGGTACTTTAAGAGCAATATTGGCAAATACCCTAAGGCTTCACTGTTTTAAGTTTTCTGTTTGCTTGCAGCTCTGGGGTTGGATCCAGGGCCTTGCACATGGTGCTAGGCAAGAGCTGTCTCACTGAGCTAGAACTCTAGCCCATTAATTTTTTTTTTTATTTTGAGATAGGTTTTCATTATATTGCTCAGGCATGCACTACCATGCCCAGCTTAAATATGAATATTTTTGCTACAAGTGTATTTTAATAGAGTGAGTTCTTGGTTATCATTACAAGTAGCTGGGTTCTACCCCATGAGCATGTGCATGTGTGTACACACATCAGGGCAACTGTAATTGACAGCATAGGTATATAATATTCCTATCTTTTTTTATGTCATACTCCCACAGGCAGGCTTACACAGTGGCCAGTCTTGTGTGCTTTGGATACAAGCTCTTGGTTCAAATCCTACAGCGAGAGTATCATTGTGGTCAAACAACTTAGTGTTTCTTTGAGCCTTAGCTATAAATGGGGAGAAATTGGCTAAGATTTAAAGAGATGGCAGATAGGAAAGGCTTTGCCCACAGACACCGTACGTTCTTAAAAGCTTGGAGCTAGAAGCTGTGAGAGTCCAGAGGCAGGAGGCTCTTGCAGAGTTTGAGATCTGCCTGGTTTAGCAAGTTCCAGGCTATCTAGGGCTGGGGAGAGACCCTGTCTTACAAAGAGGACAGCCAATGATCTGAGAACGGTTTATTTTTTTCCTAGTCCAGATGAGTGCTCCATCCAGACTCACAGTCATCCTGTTAAGCCATGTCGGCCTCCCCCCACTCCACAGTGTGTGTGTGGTGTGTGTGCGTAAGCGAAGCTGCTCCGTCTGTGTTTTCTCTGTGTGTGTGTAACTGAAGCTGTTGCTTCTATGTTTTCTGTCTTTGAACAGAGGATGGAGGGAACGACTGAATGAGTAGAACACAGGCGGGATTCGACTGGGCCTTTTACAAGACCAGGCAGGAAGATACAGGAAGCCATTATTACTTTGTTTCCAGTGGGGCTGGCTTGGTGTTTTCTGCATTAAAAGTTCATCTTTTCTCTTCCTCTCACCTATTCTAAGCTCCTGGGGGGACAATCAGCCAAAGTTACAGCTCAAGGGTCTGGCCCTTCCCCCTCTGGTCCAAAATAACCTCCTCTGCCACTTGGAGCGAATGCTTGGAATTCTTTCAACTGAGGACAGAGCCTTTCATCTGCCAATTACTGATAAAGAGAAAATGCAAATACGCTGGAGAAGGTGATCCATCAAGGGTCCAACATTTACTGACTGACCACTTAGACCCAGCCGAGGGGTAGGCATTCTGGGGGAGTCAAAGGGGAACAAACTGCCGGCTGGCCCATTCTTTTAGGTTTGTGGTTTCCTGGAGGTCTGTAAAGGGAGGGGACTATATCAGGTGACTAGTCAACAACCCCTCCCCACTCTCTACACGCCAGGAGGTGATATATAGCTTTGATATATGGAGGTGGTTAACTGCTTTTATATGAAGGTGACTAACATTAAACTTTTTTCTAATGCCAGCATTTTGGGGGATTCTAGGAAGCCAAAGGGGGAGAAAGAGCCTTAGGGAGGAAGATGACGAAGGAGGATCAAGTGTCCCATTTGACAGTTTTGCTTTAAGTCTGCACTGATTCTCAATTCAAGCCCTCCTTTAAGCCAGGTTTAATTCATTGTGAAGCATAAATGAAGGTGGTGAACATTTTAAAGGGCCAGCTGTTTGCCGGGCGGTGGTGGCACACGCCTTTAATCCCAGCCGTTGGGAGGCAGAGGCAGGAGGATCTCTGTGAGTGTGAGGCCAGCCTTGTCCACAGAGAGCGAGTTCCAGGACAGGCTCCAAAGTCAAAGAAAAACCCTCTCTCGAAACCCCCCCCCCCAAGGGGCAAGCTGTGGGATTGTGGGTGAATGGTTTTGCCTTTCTAATCTGTTTACAAAACAGACCTACAAGTCAACAAGACATTTCCTTTAAAAGATTCCCAGAAGAGGGGGCAAATAAAAATGATCCATGTTATCTATCTATCTATCTATCTATCTATCTATCTATCTATCTACTTTTGGTGTTGAAACCAGGGCCTTATAGTTGCTAGGCCAAACTCCATCCCAGTGGTCCCAGGTTTTCAGCAGAGGGATGGTTAGAAAGACTGCCTGCAGCTGAAAGCTATGGAGATGTGATTTCAGTTTGGTGACAAAGTTGGAAGCTTGTTGCCTCATGCCAAGGTAAAAGGTTTCTGCTGCTAACATGTGTGGATGGAATTAAACTTCAGAGACTAGTTTTGGGCACAGGCAGAAAAAGGGAAGGCCATTCTAACGTGAGGGAGGGAGAAGTATATTGTCTCTGGGGTGAGTCAGGGCTCACAACTCAGCTCGGGTGGCAAGGCCACTTCCTCCCCACATCTGTCTGAGCTAGCGCTTGTCGACACTGGGACAAGATAAAAAGAACAACCACCCAGATTCACAATGTCTTGCATCGAGGTTTCTCAATGTGCAAACTGACCTGCTTTAACTTGTGTACTGGACAAGAAGCTGCAATCGGCACCTCCTAGGATCATCTAAGGGGTCTCGGAGTATTCCCGGTGCTATGTCATAGGCCTTGCAGGAGACAGAGGCTGGGTGGGAACTAAGTTTAGGGCCAGCTTTTCTCATAATTAAAATGGACCTGATTTGTCCATTTTGGTATTTACAGGATCACCCAGGTCCAATTCTGGGAGCAGTCACAAGCACTACTTAAGGGGACGAAGGAGCATTGGGGGGGGGTCTGATATTCTGTGCATATTCAGAGGGTGCCCCTACCTCCGCTAAGAAACAATATGGCTTAATCAAGGTGTGCTATCTCAGCAAGCCGCGAATATCCTCACCGCTTTACTATTAAATTGCCAAACAAAGAGCTTACCTTTCTCCTGCGTGAGTTGCATTGCAGACGCTAACTCCGATTCTCTATTTCCCTCCCGTATATCGATTTATCTCTTCTCAGCGAGTGTAGAGACTTTTTTCTTTTCTTGCCCAACTTCTTATTTCAAGGCTCTTCAACTGAGGCTGTCCGAATGAATGAATGAATGAAAGGCTGTCTTCCGGTCAGCTGCAAGCTGAAAAGGCTGTGGACTGGCTGTATTTCCTGTACCTATGCGTGTATGCCCATATTATTATTTCAGACCGGAGAAAAGTTATGCAGTCTGTACGGATACAGAGCTGCGCTAATTTCTTTCTGAGCCCCTTAGATACCTCTTCCATATGGCAGGTTCGCAAATGGATAGGGGTTTGGACAGGCTGGCCCCTCCCCCCTAGACATGCAGTATAAAAGCAAAATCAGAAAAAGAAATTATACGTACAAAATACTTTGAATTTAGGTCGCCAGCACAGGTAATAAGGTGAGGTAGACTCAGGAAGAAAGAAAGGGGCAGCCGTGGGTAATCCGAGAAAGGGGGCAGGGGCAGAGGTGGGGGGTCGTTTTGGGGGGTGCCAGGCCCCGGGGGCTTTCACGCCAGCAGGCTCGGCTAGCATTTCCGTGCCTCCCGCTGAGGCCATCCGTGCAAAGCTGCACCTCCCTCTCCACCCCCTCCTCTCTTTCCCTCCCTCCCTGCCCCGCCATCTCTGGGATGCGCCCGCCGCCTGCAACTCAACCCTCCAAAAGTCAGCTCCCGGGCGGCGGCGGCGCCTGCGTGCAGAGGCGCACTCGTGACCCAACAACAAAACAGCGATGCCAAGGCGCTAACGGCGCCGGGTGCGTCCCAGGCTCCCTTCTGGCCCCACACCTCCTACGGCTGTGGTCCCCGACACCCCCAACCCGAGCCCCCCTTCTCCCCAACTAGCCCTGCCGCAAGCTCCGAGCGCGATCTGCAACAATGTTTACGTTCCGGGGATTATGACGTCGACGCCTCCCCCCCCACAACTGCTGAAAATGGTTTCCTAGGACTTTGCAAACGGATCTGCTTAAGTGTTGGTGCAAAACTTTGTAGATATCGGCTCTGGCTTGCTCTATTTATTTATTTTTTGGTTTCTTTTCTTTAGTCTTCCCTCCTTTCCCCCTCCGCCAAAATGCAGGGGGCAGGAGTGTTGACAATTAATTGGTGAACTCTCCTAAAAAAATGGAGGCAGAGAAAGACTCTGGAAGAAGATTGGTGTGTAGCTTTTTTTTTTTTTTCCCAAATCTGTATCTGGTATATGATCGATTATTTATTTATTTTTTTGGTTGTTTCTTGCTGCCTTTTCTTTCCTTTTCTGTATTTTGCAAGAGGACCGGAAAAAAATAATAAATTGCATGCAAAAGGAAGCAAGCCGTTTACTCCTCCAGTCTCTTGTGAGGCTCAGGGTCTCAGACACTTAAGTGGGGAGGAGGTCGCGCCGAAAGGCGTGGAGGGGGCTGAGCGGGCTTGGGGTTCGCCTGGGATCTGGGGGGTTGCGGGGCTCGGAGCTGGGCGGCGGAGGGAGGAGGAAGAGGGATGCGGGGAGTGGTGGGGGAGACTCCTTAGGAAGTGAGTGTGCGCGCGCGCTTGTGGGGAGATGAGGCAGCTGCTGGTGCGTTTTGGGGTCTCTGATGGAAGCTTTGTGGTGGGCCAGCTGCCTCTCTCTCCCCAAGCTCTTAACCTTCTCCCCTCTCCTCCTCTTCTTGCACTAGCGGTCGGTCGGCGGGGGCGGCTAGGGTCTCAACCCTTCCGTTTCAGCTTTCCAGCTTTTCTGTAGCTCCGGAGCGGCTCCAGCTTTAGAAATGCCGCCGGCCCTGGGTTCCGGCTTCCCGGGTTGGCCGCTGTGGCCGCCGGGGCTGCTGTTACCGCTGAGCCGGGCGCTGCAGCGGCTTCTCTCGGGGCCTACATCTGCCCCGCCAGCTCATGCCCCGAAACCCCTTTAGGGGTTACATAACCAGGCTCCCTGTGGAGCGGGCAAAGCTCTGGACATCACTGGGGTAGGGGCAAAGGAAAGCCCCCAAATAGCATTTCCACGGCTTCAAAAGATGCAGGAAGGGAGTGCTTCGAGTATAGACATTTGGGCCTTGGGGGTGTGAGCCCCTTTTTCTGCTTTTCAGCATCTTTGGCATTTGCGCAAAGTTGTTCAGATTGCAATACTGGGGTACAGTGGGCGCGCGGCTCTTGCACCTGTTTGTGGTGGGCCCAGGGTGAGAGGAGACCCCTAAGTCCTCTCAGTAATGTCCCGGGTTCTCTGGTTGGGTCCCGCAGCGTGCGATTGACCGCCAGAGATACGACGAAAACGAGGACTTGTCGGACGTGGAGGAAATCGTCAGCGTCCGTGGCTTCAGCCTGGAGGAGAAGCTACATAGCCAGCTGTACCAGGGGGACTTCGTGCATGCCATGGAGGGCAAAGGTGAGGTGCCCCCTCTCCTGGCTGCAGTCTGTGCAGAGGGCCAGCGCGCACGTGGGGAGGGAGCTGCCTGTGGCTGGGTTCGTATTTCGCGCCCGCGTCCCCCATTCCAGGGGATCCGGTGACGAAACGAGACCGAGCACTGGGGGTGGGGGGGGTGGTAAGGGAGGAGGGCAAGCAGGAAGAGGGCTGGGCCTGGCGTGGGCCTAGGCCCTGATTGTACCCATCACTAACATCAGGGTGGTCATTGCCAAGGGGCTAGCCGACTGAGAGGGACGGGGGACAGACACTGGGACTGAGGGAGGATGTGAGCGCAGCATCCTTTCTCTCCCAAGCCGGTTGCGCTGTCTGTGCTCGCTGCCAGAGGTGCAGCGCCTGGCAGGAGCCTTCTGAACGTCCTTGGGACATGGGGTGAGGGCGTGTGCTTGAAACCTCCCATACAAACCCCTGTCATCCTGGACCCTGAGGGTTATGAACTGGAATGGGCTTAGGGATTGGAGATAGCAGCATCTTCGGTTAGGGTTACGCCCCTTAGAGGCTTGAGTCTGAGCCTTTGGTCCGTAGTGCCTTTCCCCCTTCAAGGGCCCTGCCCTGCGGCATGGGAGAAGGGACTAAGTGGGCTGTTGGGAGTTCTTGGCACTACACCCTCCTCCCAAGCCTGAGACCTCTAGCGCCCCAACTGTGACCGCACTGAGTAGTGGGGTCTAGGCTATATATGTGATGAATTACCCGATCAGGCCTAAAGGTAAAATCCCTGTGCCTTGGCAGTTTGAATGAAGACTTAGGTATCTCTCTGGAAACAGGGTCTTTTTCCATGCCTGAGAGCTCTGTGCTCTGACCTTCCCAGTATGGAGCAGAAGCTGGGTAGGCTCCGGTTTTGGAGGGACTCCTGGCTTTGGGCTTCTCCCTCTCCTACTGACGGTGTGGGTGTGGCTGAGGATGGTTCTTAGATGTGCTGGGTGATGCTCCTGTTTGAGGCTTGGTTTTAGGAGCCCCGAACCACCCCAGCCAGCGTCCTGGGGTTCCTTTGTGGACCCTGGTCCCAGAACCTATCTTCTTGGCTTTGGGAGCAGCCCTTGCTTACCCAGGCCTTTCTAGAGTGTTTGGATATTTTTTTTTTTAAAGTTTCCTTTCAATTACTCATTTTCCATTTTGTGTTTCCCCATCCCCCTTGGAAACCCCTGTCCTCACAGTGAGCTGACAGCAGGGGCAGTGCCTCCCTCCTCCAGGTTCTGCTTGAGTGGCTGAGGCCTAGAGTTAGCCCTGGAGGAGACTGTCCCGGCTTTGCATTTTTGAAGTTTCTCTTTTGTGCTCTTGGCCTCCTGGGGCTCTGGTGGAGTTAGGGAGAAGTGGGGGGGAGGGAAGAAGACATTTTTTTTCCCAAGAAATTTCACCCAAAAGCAGGGTGTCAGCCCCAACCACATTTCTATTTTCTCTGTATAAATGGGATTTTAATTCTCCTTTTCTCCCTCCACTTTACTGATCTTGGCAGAGCCTATGAGGATACGGTGTGCAGGCTCTTGGTGGTCATCTGTCAGCAATCCTCCGGCCCAGTTGTGGAAGCTGAAACTGTGGGGGTTGGTGGGGAGTCGGGTATGAGGGCTGGAAAGGTTCCATTAGGGAGCTCCGAAGGGCATCCTTCTAGCCGCTGTCCTGGCTGCTTTCAAAGGAGAGGGCCTTAGGGTTCTGCTTGTTAATTCAGACCTGGCCCCAAAACTGGAGGGAGGAGTTGAAATGCAGAAGGAACCTTTAGCATGGATTCAAAACAGAAGCTTCTCTGACTTCTCTTCCTTTAAATCCAGAGGAATCCCCATTCACTGGGAGCCCCTGGGGATCTGAGCCTCTGGGGTCAGGGCTTTCCAGGCTCTGGGTTTTGTTCTCTCTCTTCGGAGCCTATGGCTCTGGCCTCCTCCTCCCCCAAGGCTGCCCTGGTGAACTGTTTCACTGGGACCAAGGCTTCCTTGGCTCCAGGACTGTCTTTCTCCTTTCTGACCAGCTTGGAGAGGACCTGTGCTCTTGGTGCCTTGTGTTAGTTGATTTGGGAGAAAGGAGGGTGTGTCTTAGCACCTCTCACCTCCATTGTCAGGGAGATGGTTGGGTCAGAGCCCCTGGCTTAGAAATTGATGTAGGAAAGAAATGAGGCACAGGCTGAGGGGCTTTGGGTAGGATATTGTGAGTGAGGGCGTCTGAACCATGCAAATAGAAAACTGCCTGGTGAATTTTTTTCGGGAAGTGGGGTCTTCCTGTGCTCCGTCTTCACAGTTCACTAGCTCATCCCTCCTGGTTATCCAACTGAAGCTAGTATTACGACGGGCTCCAGCAGCATTTCACTATGGGAAGACAACAAAGCTGTGCCCAGTTCCCTAGTTATTTTGGCACCAAATACATAGTTTCCAGGGAAACCGGCTTTTTCCCACTCCCCTTCACTATGCAGGATATTACAATAAGATTTTCCCTGATGTTCAGCTCCAACGAGAGCCCTCCTCCCTGGTCTCTGTGGGGCTTCAGATCCTCCCAGGTAGCAGGCTTCAGTTTTGCTGTCCTCCTGTCCCAACTCTGTTTGGGACGTGTTTGTCCCTATTTCTCAACAGTAGCTGGTGAGTTTTCAGCACAGAGTTCTTGATTAAGTCTCCTCCGCTGGCCTCAGGCTGTTCATTGACAAGTTGGGACCCGTGGGGCATGCCGAGAATGAGTAGGCAGAAGAGCTGATGGAGGATGCTGTTTGGCTTTGCCTTGTCTATCTTATTTCGCCACAGGTTTTATTGTTTGTTTTATTTTATTTTTATTTTGGTTTTATCTTCTAGCTGGTACCTATATCCAGTGTATATGGCTTGTTCTTTATTTTTCCCCCCTCACTGATGGGTTGTGGTTCATTTGCTCTTCAATAACTTAACCAAATAATTGTTTTTAATTCAAATATCCAAACAGATTTTAACTATGAGTACGTACAGAGAGAAGCTCTCAGGGTTCCCCTGGTTTTTCGAGACAAGGATGGACTAGGAATCAAGTAAGTTGCTAAATTAACCCCTTCTTCCCTGATCCTCCTCCTCCCTGTCAGAATTTCTAGCTCGGGATGTGTTCTCTCTCTCCTGTCTTCTCATGCCCCAGCACTTCCAGAAGGACTTTTTCCTAAGACCTGAGAACAGCTTCTCCTTGTTCAAGACCTGCTTGAGAAAAACTGCCAAAAAGTGATCTTTTTCAGGAGCTAGGGAGAGAGGTCCTAGGGCGTTTAAACAGCGATAGACCTCCCCCATTCCTGTCTGGTCTAGCCTGGTCATTTCAGCAGTGTTTGATCTCCCAGCCCTTTCTGGTCTAGCCTGATCCCACATAGCAACTTCTTAGTGAGCATTGTTCCTCGCCTGCTTAAATCAGAGTGAGGGTAGTAAAGGGACCAGCCACCCAGTCTGGGGCACCAGAATGCATGCTTCCTCAACATACTCCCAATGTGTGGGAAATGGGCCTCTTTCTGTGAAGGGTGTGTGTGTTTTCTCCCCTTTCCCTGCCTGCCTCTGTCTGTCTTATGTTCTGGAGGAGAACTGCCAACTTTCTGGGTTGGGGAGAGATTGAGGCAGGCTGGAAGAACAGGTTCCTCTCCTTGGGCAGGGATAGGAAAGGATAGGCTGCCTCCCTCTGCAGCATCTATGACCAGGCTCGTTCATGTATGTTCCTACCAGAGGCACAAGACTTTCAGTATCAACTTTACCATACAGTCCTGGCTAGCTTGGAGCTCATTATGTAGACCTGGCTGCCTCAGACTTAGAGATCTTCCTGCCTCTTTCTGGGTGCTGCAGTTAAAGGTGTGTGACACCCTGTCTGCCTTTCAGTAATTCCTTTGTTTTGTTTCTGTTTCCGAGAGGGCAGGCTGGCCTCACACTTAACTAGGAGGTTAAGGATGACCTTGAGGTCCTGTTCCTCCTGCCTTTACTCCCAAGTGCTGGGATTGTAGGCAAAGGCCACAGTCCATAAAGACATGATGTCCCCTTTTCTGACTCTGACTTGATTTATTATTTAATTAGTTAATTAATTAATTAAAAATATTTATTTATTTATTGTGTGTACAATATTCTATCTGTGTGTATGACTGAAAGCCAGAAGAGGGCACCAGACCACATTACAGATGGTTGTGAGCCACCATGTGGTTGCTGGGAATTGAACTCAGGACCTTTGGAAGAGCAGGCAATGCTCTTAACCTCTGAGCCATCTCTCCAGCCCTAATTTATTTATTTTTGAAATAGTTTATTGCTATGTAGCCAAGGTTGGCCTGAAACTCAAAAATTTTCCTGTTTGAGTCCTCCAAATGTGTTTCCTCTGAGATAAATGGTCTCCCCTGTTTTCCATACCATACTGTATGGAATCTTTTTTTCCCTTCTGTGCAGCCCCTGGTTGTCCTCTGCCTCCCAAGTGCTGGAATTAAAGGTGTGCACCAGCATCGCCCAGCTGGAAAGTATTTTCTTTTCTTTCTTTCTTCCTTTTTTTTCTTTCTTTCTTTCCTCCTCCTCCTCCTCCTCCTCCTTCTCCTCCTCCTCCCTCCTCCTGCTGCTGCTGCTGCTGCTGCTGACAGGGTTTTTCTGTAGCTTTGGAGCTTGTCCTGGAACTTGCTCTTGTAGATCAGCAGGCTGGCCTTGAATTCACAGAGATCCGCCTGCCTCTGCCTCCTGAATGCTGGGGTTAAAGGCGTGCGCCACTACTGTCTGGCTGAAAGTATTTTCTAAAAGTGAAAGAGACATCCTAAATTAAAGCAGGTGTTTGGTCCTTGACACCACGCTTCAGTTTTCTTGCTGTAGAGTTGGCCAGTGATGTCCCACCCTTCCTGAGGCTCAGCTTTGGTCTTTCTTTTATTTTTTATTTTATTTATTTATTATGTATACAATGTTCTGTCTGCATGTATGGCTGCAGGCCAGAAGAGGGCACTAGATCTAATTACAAATGGTTGTGAGCCACAATGTGGTTGCTGGGAATTGAACTCAGGACCTTTGGAAGAACAGCCAGTGCGCTTAACCTCTGAGCCATCTCTCCAGCCCTGGTCTTTCGTTTATAATAGAGAGTATACTCCATGATTCTGGGCGCCTTCCCTTAAGGTACCTTCCTGCTTTACCAGGTTTCATTCTGGGTTATCTCATTCTCAGCATAGAGCAAAGAACCCCTTTTGGAAAAATGGCTTCCCCCTGGATCCAGGGTAGAGTCTAGCTCTGTGGGTTTATTTTATCTATCTAGTTTTTTAATTTATTTTTATTTTCATTTTGTGTTCATTGGTGTTTTGCCTACATATGTCTGTGTGGGGGTGTCAGAAGCCCTGTAGTTGGAGTTGTGGGCTGTGATGTGGGTGCTAGGAATTGAACCTGGGTCCTCTGGAAGAGCAGTTGGTGCTCATAAGTGCAGAGCCATCTCTTCAGCTCCTGTTTATTTATTTTGTAACCAGATATTTATGCCTGTCTCTCTCTAGGATGCCAGACCCTGATTTCACAGTCAGAGACGTCAAACTCCTTGTGGGTAAGTGCTGCCAGTGGGGCAGGAGAAGGGAAGGGGCAGTATTCGCAACTGCCCATTTAGAAACAACCTCCTCTCTGGAGGAGGTTGGAGCAGGTGTTAGCTGCAACCGTCTGATTCTGGAGAACAGGTCGGATCGCAAAGTCCTGAGAAGGTGTACGGGAGGGTGTTTTTGCCAGCACGGTTTTTATGAGGCTATTTGGACCCAGGCTCTTTCTCGGGCGTCAGCAGTGCAATTTCCCTTTGCGTTTGTTTGTGGGTTGCTGGGTAAACACTGGTGCTTCATGACCCCTAAAAGACTTTGATGCGTTCAAGGGGGAGGGACTATGCGTCCTGCTTCTTCAGGGTTCTGGACAGGCCTAGGGTGGGGCTTCCACTGGGTGTGCAGCAGATGCCTGTTAACCCTCTGAGAGCCTGCAGAGAGCACCTGTGGCTTGCCTCTCAGCCTTCACCAGGGAGAAGAAAGTCCTTCAGTACCCCACTCTTTCTAGAAAACCCTTTCTTACCTATGTGGTAGGCTGAGACTGTAACTGACAAGGCCCCTGCCCTATTTGCTAGGACAGGAGTCTATAAAGAAGTTAACCACACGTCTTTCCAGTGATGGAAAGGACTTTGAAGAAGCAGTGCAGGGTGATGGGTCGAGCATGGTGGGGCTGCAGGCGGGGTCGTCAGAGATGAGAGGAGGCATTTGAGCCGATTCCTGAGCTGAAGCAATCAGCTCTGGGTGCCTGGAGAGCGGGCTCACTTGCTGCTCTTCCAGAAGGCTTGAGCTTGTTTCTCAGCGCTTACGTCAGGCTGCTCACAACCACCTGTAACCCAGCGCCGGTGGATTTGACACGCTCCTCTGGCCTCTGTAGGCACCAGCGTACATACAGAAACACATGAATCATGGAAAAGAATAGTCTAAGCTGTGAGATGAGCAGGAGAAAAGGCCAGGGGGACAAACTTGACATTTCAACTTAAATGACAGAGTAGAAAGTGGTAGAAGAGCTGGCGGAGGCCCCAGGGCCAGGTCATCAGGGCCCTGGAGGCCCTGGGGAAATTTGGACTTGGCTGTTGAAGATGATGAGAAGCCTTGGGGAGATGAAAACTGGGGTGAGGGTGAACCTGTGACTTATTTTCTTTGGGGGTATTGGCACTTTTAAATCAAGTTAATTAATCAGGTAATTAATTAATTTTTGGTATTTAATTAATTTAATTGTGGTTTAATTAAACCAAGGCCCTCATACATGCCAGCCAAGTAAGTTTTCTACAAACTGAGTTATATTCTTTTTTTTTTGAAGTTAAAATAAAATCCATGTAACCAAACGCTATTTAAAGTATACAGTTCAGTGGTTTTTTGTTTTAATATTCATGTTTTACAGCCGTCAGCACTATCTAATTCCAGACTAGCACAAACCTGTAGCTCCGAATTGTATTTTCCTTCATTTCCTTTGTATTGAATGACCACGTTTTGTCTGTCCGTTTACTCACGGATGGACATTTTGCTGTTATGAATAATGCAATGAATATTTATGCACAAGGTTTTATGAGTATCAGTTTCTCTTGAGTCTTGGGAAGGAAACTGCTGAGTCTTAGGGCATCTTCGTGTGTTTTCTGTTGCTGCGACAGACTGCCCTAAGCCTAGCAATTTTACAGAGGAGAGGTGGCTTTGGTCCGTGGTCTTGAGACTGTCAAGTCCAACAGCATAGCGTAGAAAAACGTGGCAGAAAGAGAGGGGCCAAGCAGGGGTGTGCAGAACCAAAGGAACATCTTGCTGTAGAGCAACTCTACTTCAGTCCCTGCAGACGTTTATCCATTCCTAAGGGGTCAACCCTGAAGACCTAAATACCTCCCAGTAGGCCTGCTTCCCACCTTCAGTACGGAGATACTGAGTTTCCAACGTGAACTCCTGGGAGTCACTCACACAAAGTATCAGGCAGCTGACTAACCGTTAACTGCCAACCTGTGTGCCATCAAGTCTTTATCAGTCGGATCTGTATGAGTGTCCAGATTGCTCCTCCTCTACACTTGTGCTTATTATGGTCTGTTTTGGTTTTGTTTTTTGCTTTTGCCTCCAAATTAGTTTTGTTTCTTGGGGTTTGTGTTTATTTGTGTTTGAAGCAGGGTCTCATGATAAAGTCCAGACTGGTCTAGACTTGCCATTCTCCTGCCTCAGCCTTGTTATTACAGGTGTGTGCTACCAGACCCCATCTGTGTTTTTGATGACCACTGGCCATGCCAGTGGGTATGGACCGGAGTGACTGGATTGAAAACCACACACGTGGGAGATGAAGGCAGCTGGCTAGTGGCATGTCAGACAGTTTGGTCGGAAACATTAGGGCCGTTGCTCTTTTAGGTTTTGAAGACTGTGTAACCAGGTTTGGTGGTCTTGAATTCACTGTGATCCTCCTGCTTTAGCCTTCCAAGTGTTGAGATTATAGACATGTGCTACTGTTTGGCTCCAGCTTTCTTAAATAATGTTGCCTACCTGGACTCTGTAATACGCGTTCCAAGCCTTTTGTAGATGTGGTATGCTCTGACTGCGTCCAGGCTGCCTCTCTTTTCCCTTGGTCCTCGTGCATCTCCTGGTGGAAGCAGGAAGACCCCGTTAGAGAGTTCCAGCATCCTTGCAGACTAGAATTGTACGTTGGGCAGGAAAGCAGGGCCTGCTAACCAGCTTCCGTCTGTCAGTATTCTTTTTCCCCCTTTGTTTTCATTTTGAGACAAGGTCTTACCCTATAGCCCAGGCTGATCTTCAGCTCACATTAATCTTCCTCCGCCTCCTAGATGGTGGGATTATGGGTATGAACCATCATGCCTAGCTCTCTTAGCATGTCTGGGGCCATTCTCTGCATGTATATGCTTTAGGAAGGCACGAGGAGTTTGGACACTGATGTTGGTGGCTGCAGTTCTCCTGGGCTATTACGGTTGTCCATTGTGGTCTCTGACCGCACAGTCCCTGCACGGTGGTGATAGGCGCGGTTATCATAGGTGACAGAGTTGACAGGTGTAACTCAGGCTGGCTTAAACAGAACAGAATAGCTGATTTATGTGTTAGATCTAGGCTGTAACCTTCAGGCACTTACAGACCTAGACTTCCTAAGTCTGTCCTAGAGGAAGTTGTCTCCAGAGGTCACCTCTTGCCTCGGGCTCTGCGGAGGGCCCTCATCTTCAGAACTGTCTTTCTCCTTTCTTTTCTTTTCTGCACAGTTTCTCTTTGTTCTTTTCTTTTCCTGAGTTGTTTTGGGCAGTGCTGCTCCTTGTGAAGGTAAAGACAGAACCAGGAGCCCCAGGCTGACACTTGGCTACCACAGGCTCCTCCTTCCTGACTGCCATGTCTCTGGGATGGCAGATAGTTCAGCACCATTCCAAACTTGAAGCTGGTAGCTCGGGACAGTAAGTAAGCCCTAGGGACGGATAAGCCTTGCAGCCAGTGAGGAAGCAGCAGTTTTCCAGGGTGTCTCAGACAGAGATCCTTTCCTAGCGTTAACTCAGGCCTTCTACTAGGAGGGCAGTGTTGGGGTGGCTGTCCCACCAACTTCAGGAGGGGGTTAGGTAGATGGAGAGCGAAACACTCGCTATGGAAACATGAGGGACCCGAGGCCGCATCCCAGCACCATGTAGTGCTGAGAAGGTGTGGAACCCGTCTGTAATCCCCGGACTCAGGAGTGTTGACCATGTCAGTGCTGAGCAGGCGTGGAACCCGTCTAACACACATACAGACACACATACACACACACACAAACACACACGCCCCCCCCCCCCAAAAAAAAAGAAAAGGAAGAGAAAAGCAGATTGGGGGAGGCATGACCAGCTGTTCCGGCTACAGCGCTGGCTGTGACTCCTCTGCTGTTTTAAAATCAAGCTTTTGTCTACTGGCCATCTGCTCTCACTTGAGCCCTGTCTTTTATTTATAGAAATGGATCTCAATATGTTTTCCAGGCTGGTCTTGAACTCTTGGGCTCAAGTATTCCCCCTACCTTAGCTTTCCAAGTAACTGTGACTGGAAGCCTGTGTCACTTGCAGTGGCTTGCCTTTAAAACTAATAAAAAATAGAAATTTTCCGTTTCTACATTATACTGTTGTTCAAATAATAAAAACCCAAAGATTGATACTGGCTCTTCCCTCTACCTCCGACTGAAAATGGGTGATCTTGCCTCCACGAATCCTCAGATTGAGACTGAGACCTGCCTCTTCCTGTTTTATATTCCTCCCCAGTGCTAGGATTAAAAGCGTGCACCACCGCCCCAGCCTCTGTGGCTCGCTAGTGTAGCTGTTGAGATTAAAGGTGTGTGCCACCACTGCCTGGCCTGTGGGGCTGACTAGTGTGAGTACTTTGCACTGATCTTCAGGCAAGCTTTGTTTACTAAAACACAAATAATATGCCACTCTATTTCCCCTCTTTTGTCTAAAATAAAAGAGGCTCTGATAAAAGAAAAATTATATACAGTAAGTGTAACTATATAAGGAAAACTATATACAATAAGTATAGTAACTATATACAATATATACAGGCAATAAGTACATCAACAATGCCTAGTCCATTTACATTTGACAAATTCAGGGAAAATACTCCATATCTATCCTGTCTTGATGAATCCAGAAGGTTGTACCTAGTTCACTTTCTCTTGCAATTTGCATTATCGAATTCTTTTACACTTTTTACCTCTTTAGTGAGTTTCTTTTCTGAGTCTGGTAAACACGGAAAACTACTATAACCATCTAGTCTTTGACTCCCCAGAGACCCGAGAAGGAAGTAATATTAACTGAGTAGCAGGAAGTGCAAACAAGCAACTTTCAAAAAATGTGAGCCATGACAGAAACAGCTGGCTACCTGACAGTCACCCAAAGTTCCTCCGCAGTGTTGGGGCATGCATCTTTGGCCGACAATCCTAGAATATCTAACAGACTTTTCTGTGAAGCAAGGTTTTTGAAGGACTGTCTCGCTTTGTCTGAGCAAGGTTTGACAGTCACTCTCTTTTGTATCCTGCTTGTCCCATTAGGACAGCATACTGCCAGCA